AGATGATGACTGTACAAACCATTTTACACCCAATCAAGTAGCTCGAATGCACTGCTATATTGATTTGGTCTACAAAACCTGGGTCCATGGTAGAAAGCCCACCACTGTTCCTCTTGCACCAGTGGTGATTGGTCAAGATGCAGATTCCGTCACCATTCATTGGCTGAACCCAATCAGTGGGCCACTTGCCCACAGGTAAAGTGAGGAGCATACATATAACAGACAATGAGAAATTCACATAGTTTCCCCATGCAACTTGATTTTGAGCTGATTTGGTTTACAAAATCCATTAATACTTGACCACATTAATTTATCTTTGTAATTTAGATATGAATCATGCTGTGTGAATATATACTGGAGTTAATTTTCATGATTATGCTAACTAAAGTAAATGTATTGTTATGTTGGAAATATTCGACTATAACATGCAGTTTTGCATGTTCAAAAACCTGCATTTTATTCACAATCTGTCCGCAATGCAGAAAGAGCACATGAAGTGATGTATTTTGAGCTCCCCACTTTTTGATCTCTCACTCTCTTTGTACACTTTTTTAAAAGCTGTTCTCTGTGGCTGTGTAGGGAAGGTGACATGAACTGTCTTCTCTGTGATGAAAACGGAGCGTTCCATCAGTACGCCTATGAGGCCACTTCTCCTCACGCCTGTGATTCCACTGGATACTGGACACCAGAGGAAGCAGTGGGTTAGTACTCATATTATTATAACGTATTATTTTACATTGTAATTGTAATTGTACATATTATATACTCATATCATTACCACACAACTTTACTTCATACTTGCAAACACAGACAGGTGGAAAGATACAAACCATAAAAAAGGCTCATTGCTGTTGGGTTGTATGTCAGCGCTGTTGAAATCTCATTTGGTCAATCAAATTAGAGGACCAGGACTAACTGCTGTATTATAGTTTTTATGTCATGGTCTAACAAAGTTCTTCCACACGCATATGTCATGAATCATAAGATGGTGTGCGCATGACTAAATGCCGTCTCTGATATAATTGTTGTTGTACGTGTGTTTGATCCTCAGCACACCACTGAATATGTCATGAATGATCGTGTAAAAAAAATTAATGAGGATAGAGAGAATTTAGCCCTGGCTTCTTACTCCGAACTTGTGCATTCACATTCAGGTGGATCGTTCAGTCTCATGCGGGCCAGGTGCGTGCAAGTCTGGAAAACTTTAGGGAATAAATCATTAAATCATAATTGCCTGGATAAAGAACACTCTTTTTGCCATCAATGAATAAAAAAGGCCCTTGGCACAGCTTCAAGTTTTGGTAATATTGGGTGGCGTCCAGAAGCAGCCCGTCATAAAAAGCGATGTGTATTCTGTGCAGCTTTTCAATTTTATTCCTCACCTAACAGATGTTACTGATTATTCTAATCAGAAATCTCTTAGCATCTGGTCTGCCCGCTCAATGATATGTGTCACGGATAAGATTGTGCTTTGAAAAGTCCACCCAAAATGTGGAAATCCTCCCCTGGTATGCAGTCGTTTTCATAAAGCACAGTATCATGAGAGAGGTCAAACATAAAATCATCCAGCTAGGTGGTATAGTAGAGAGTGATTTTTGGCCCGGAGTCTTGTTTTGAGAAACAGACTGATGATAAATTAAGTCTTAAATTTGAAAATAAAAATATGTATCTCTAAGAAAACAATATCTTTGTGATATTAATGATGAATGAGATTTAATACCATCGGTTCAGGTCTGTAATAAATTATGGTAACCTATTGTTTTTGGTTTATTTTTAAAAACATGATAAAGTGCATGATGACTACCTAATGTGAATTATTTTGTCGGTCAGTTAATCATGTCAGAAAGACTTTAAGAGCAATATGACAACACTGTTTGTGTAGAATGAAATAATGCTCTCGGTAATGGTGAATCATTTGATAACTGTATTAACACAGGCCAATTCGAAACCAACAAATCATACAGTGTTTGGATCTCAGATCTCACATCTTGTAGCGCTCGCCCCTGCTTACCTGTACCATAGCCTCTGTATGTACTATAACGCAACTTTTGAGAAATAAGGTTTGAGCCAGGGTGAGCAGAGACCTGGTTAAGGCTGCTGAAAGAAGGAAGGATGACACGCTCACAGATCTTGCCGCATTGCTTCTCTCTGCGGGAGCATTACACCACATCTGATACAGTCATTAATTCTACCTTGTGTGGAGGCCCTTGCTCTGTTTATCTGACCAATTGAGTTTTATGGTTTGCCTTGGCCTGCTGCTGTTTACCCTGTACACATGTGAGGCCACGCTGGGTGCAAAGGAGCGCTCTGTGACTCAAGGCTGCTGTCTGTCTATCTGTCTCTCTTGACCTGGAGTACAGTTTAATCTATCATTGTGAAACGTTTTGGAAGTTCACATGGCCTGAAATTAAAACTTGTGCTCTTTACATTAATACACAATAGTTCACTAAACAGTTGTGTCACTTCAGCGTGCAGTATTTGGGCACAAAAGTGTCTGACCTATTAATTAACCCCCTGCAGTTCAGTTTAACCAGGCTGTATTTTTCAATGTAAATGATACTTTCTATATAAAGCAGGCTATGCTTTAGTACATACATCAAGTATAAACAAGCAAATCAGTATAAATAATCTGATATCCTGACAGGATAATATCGTAGACAAGCACACTTTAAGCCTTATATATATATATATATATATATATATATATA